TATACCAATATATATATATATATATATATATATAGTTATAAAAATTAAATTTATATAAACTTTAAACGAGTACAGAAGGTCACGTGACTTGGTCAAATTGACTGACCCTGTGTTGGAAGAGTTAAAAGATTTAACCATTTTGTTAGCTTATTATACTTAACTGCTACTCACATCATAACTACTCTCAGCTTCATTACTGATGGTCAGCCCAGCAAGTTCACCAAGACCAAGTGTTGCTTCCAAACTGTCATCTTCAGTTACTGGTCTTCTCACACCTATTAAAAGTTAGAAAAAAGTTAGCAAGAGCTTTCTATCAAAATAAGAAAGATCAGAACTAGAATCAAATTTACATGTTAAGCTAATTCCATATAACTAACTAAAAAGTACATGTGATAAATCATTATGTAGAATAAAACAATTCTACAGCTATTAGAATGTACTAAAATACATGGGTTGAGTACATTACACTAAAATGATTTTGAATATGCAAATCAGCAAGTTGTGTGACAATCACAACCAATACAATGTTGTGGTGGAATCTCATATACCAGAACTACGTTTTGACATTGTTTGGTGCTCATTGGTAGTTAAATACTACCAAGAATATATTATTGTTGGAATGGGTATGCAACAACCCTTTCTGATGCAAAATATTCATTCACTCAGATCATAATATGTTCAGGTTGCAGATTTAAAAATTCCATAATGTTAATATTCCTTATGCTTAATGGCATTGGTAAACAAAGGAATATGGAGCAAATGGGCACCAGGACCATCTAGAAAGATACCTTCAACAAACCATACCCCAGTCATGGTAAGCATCCATGACCACAAAGGTCAGTGGCCCCAGCAACAGTAACAACATAATCATGAAAGATCTGTCTTTTTGAAAAGTGACACAAGTCATACTTGTTCAAATGTCAAATACCTCAAGCAGCTGAAAAATTAAGCAGGTATGTATGCTATTCCATACACAGACATACCATTCAAGTCACTGGATGTAGTGTTTATAGATTCTGCATGATCAGACTGTTAAAATGGGCATTGGGAAACTGTTGTCCTTATACACTGTATGCTTACGAAAAGAATGCAGGAAGGACATTTGTCATTTAGACGTAACAGTTGTATGATGATGCCTGTTGCAAAGGAAGTTATGCTGCAGGGCTACTGCCAAGGTGCACCGTTGCTAGGTAGAGCATGACCAGGTATGATGAATGGACTGTAACGATGTGGCAAGGCTCCAAAATTGCTTTAATAGAATGTACTCAACCTCTGTATAAGCTGGGCACACTTGCTGTAATCCCAATAATCTTTCAAAAAGTTTCAGGCCAGTCTACGAGAGTTAAGATACTTCCAAATTCATACACTAAGCTGTACATTTCATAATTTTTTGTTATAAACAGCCATTTTTTAAAATTTTTATTTACTTGAGAGCAGATTAATTTATTATATATATATATATATGTTATATATGTGTTTTTCCCCTGTTATTATGAAATAATGATGAACTGGAAACAGTACATTAAAAACAAATAAATAATCTTTTAAAATTATAATAAAAAAACTGATTTGTTCAGTACTTCAGAGATTATTTTATTACAATTCACATAAAAACAAAGGTACTGGGGTTGATTAAAAAAAAGTGTAAAATAACAATGCCTGAAACTGCGACTTTTATTTAACTTTTTTTTTAATTTCACAATAAGTAAAATAGAATTATTTATTCATTTCATCTGCAATAACTTCTTACCTTTTCTTAGCTTTACCTTCCATTTTGGGCTAGCAAAATACCATTTAGTAATGTCACACTTGAAAATATCACCAAACATGCTTACATACCATTCTCTTTTTCTCACTTACTAGTGTTCTTAGTGGCCTCAAACCCCAGAAGTGGGCTTAAAATGGGGATGGAGTCAGAAGTCCTCTGAAGCTCATTAGATTTCTTGACAGTACAAGTGATGTCTGAAGGATTCGGATCAGAGAGGAGAACAGAAGAGCCATCAGCTGATGGACTCTCTTCATCACTACTACTCTCTGACAGGCTCACAAGCATGGCTTGCAAGTCTGACCGTCTGGGTCCTGACCAATGAGTGAGATGACAGATATAGATATAATACAATATAAACTCAGTATACATGCACAATAAGAAAGATAAAAAAAAATAAGACTGAAGAAATATGTGCACGGGAAACTCAAAGAAAATATACTATGAAATTATTGAAATTTCTGAAATTATTACTTAACACACACTTATTACAACAATCACAATCTAATAAACAAAACATGCACATTATAATGAGGAATAAATAGACTGTGTGTGCAGAGAAAAGAAGCTATTGAATTTATTTTCAGAACAAATGTTAGCTTATTACAACTCCATCTCAAGGTTAATAGTTTTTAAAAAGTAAAGAGTGAGTCATTTTCATAACTTAGTGACCATGAATTATGCCCTATCAAAAAAAAAAGCTGTGAAACCTATGTTAGTTGGTATGTTACAAAACAAAACCTTAAGCACTGAAACATGTAACAAATGTTCTGTTTGTAAGAGTTGGATAAAAGTTTTGAAGTACTGTAATGAAAATGATTTTATATTAACTTATTTAAAGAGAGTTCTCAGAGAATATTGTAAATAGATGAAACTATATATTATGCAGATACAAGTACACCATTCTTTAGGATATGGTTAAACACCTGATATCAGTAGCCACTGAATTGTAATTTTGTAGAACTTTACTAGTATAACCATGAAAACACAGTATACGATCCCAAATATACACATTGTTATAAACTGTTTTACTGACAAATATTAACATAACTGAAAATTGACACAATAATAATATCATAGAAGCTCAGTTCCTTAGACTTGACAACTCAGAAGTTATACCTACAATAAACAATGATATATGTACTTTTTCTATCTGGTTTCATTTGTTTTTATTAGCTACAAAGTTGGTATAACGTTGTGATAATTAGTGGTGCTTTTGAGAACAAAATGTTTAATTCAAAGCAAGTTACTTTTATATTTTAAAAATAATTTTAATAAAAAGTTCACTTTAGTAGGCAGTGTCTATTCCAGTATTATCTCACAATCACCGCAAATTTATAAAAATAGCCATAAGAATAATGTATCTATAAAGTCAATGAGGCCAATTACTGATTTTTTAGATTCCTTTAAGAATAAAAATTTAAAAGGATGCAACTGGCAAAAAACAAAATGCAGCAATCATCTCTAACTAGATAAAACAATATTGTTTTCAGTAGTATAAAATGGGAGTATACTTTGAATGCAAATAATAATTTTTTATTATCATACTTTGAATTTATGATTTTGTATTCAAAAACTATTCCAAATGCAAGGTTTCTTTTGCTTATATTGATTATTAACTTGTAGGTCATTTGGCTGGTGTCTACTGTGACCAAACAAACCATTGTCCAACCAGTTTACATATGTTGCTTTCCAGCCTAATGAAATCTATGCATGCATAAATATTATTCGCCTTATACCATATTTCTGCCTAGACTAACATTAATAGCAAAAAAAAAACAACACAGGTGTCCTAATGCTAATCAAAAGGCTTAGATATAGGTCTTAGAAATATTGATAGAGTTCTAGGTCTTAACTTTGTGGTGGTACTTTCTTGATGTAAGAAAGCCCAAAGGCATGAAGTTGAATATTTGTTGTGAATGTTCAAGAATTTGAACAGAAAAATAAACAACTCAGCAAAAATTAGATACTTGCAATTCTTTGATGACTGTGACCAGGTGGCACAGATACACAAAACAATCACTTCACACTCTATCAAGTGAAATATATTTTACTTTAAGTGATTATATTTGAGGGTGAAAACATCTCCTACCAACTGGCAGATCGTGGAATGGCCTCTAGATACAGAGGTTAGATGTGAATAATCAATAAGCAGCTGTAGACGAGCTGGTGGTTGTTCCAGAGGGCGAGGTGGGATATCTTGTGGTGCAGATGTTACTTTAAATGCCCAATAATCCCAGAGAAGGGATAATCAGGGGAAAAATTTGGGTGTCCACAAGTTATCCCCCCTGCTGCCTTGCAGGTTAAATTATTTAATCAAAGGCTAATGAAGTAAACCAAAAACAAACCAGTGGAAGGCAATGGAAAACCACAGATGTAAATCCCAATAATGTCATGGCAGACACAGATAAGAGCATATAGGGGGTTCCATGTTGGAAGACCTCACTCAATAGGGAATGTTATGGGCAACAGTTGATACCAGACCATCATCTAGCTCCTGTATGCAACAAGGATAAAATTATAATTGCAACTTGGAATGTAAGAATAATGTTCCAACAAGGAAAGCTAAACAACATAAAGAAAGAGATGGAGAGAATGAACATCAACATCATAGGTTTATCAGAGGTCAGGTGGAAAGGAACAGGTCTATTACCTCAGAAATCTACACATTTTTCTATTCAGGAGGTGAACATTATGAAAGAGGGGTTGGAATAATGCTAGACAGTCACAGAGAAAAATATGTCAAAGGCTGTTATGCTGTTTCAGACAGGGTAATACTTGTCAACCTCATGGGGGAAACCATTTGACATCTCAATTGTACAGGCCTATGCTCCTACAGCCAAACAGGATGAAGATACTGTACATGATTTCTACAAACAGCTTGAACAAGCTTTGAAACAGTGCAGATCTCAAGAAATGGGTGACTTTAATGCAAAAGATGGAGATGATAGAATTTTTGATAACAGAGGTCTCTATGGATTGGGCTAAAAAATGACAGAGGGGACAAACTAGCTGAATAGTGTAGAAGCCGTAATCTAATGAATGCAAACACCTATTCCAAAATCACCAAAGAAGGGAGTGGATATAGAAAAGTCTGATAGAGTGCACAAGAAACCAAACTGAATTTATTCTTATTAATAAATGTTTTAGAAATTTTATTACATATGCTAAAACAGCCCCAAGAGCAGATTGTGGAAGTGATCATTTTCCAGTGATTTGTAAAATAAAGATTAAGATGAAGCAAGTTTTGAAGACAGAGTAAACACCAAAACACAAAATTCATTTACATAAATCAGATCCTGAGATGAAAGAAAAATACACAGTCACTGTAACAAGTTCAGCTCCGTAATAGATATAATGGATGTAAACTCTCTGTGGGCAAAACTGAAGAAATCTATTATAGAAACAATGGAAGAAATTGTTCCTAAAAAAGTAAAAAAAGAAAAGAAAAAAAGAGTAAAAATAAATGAATGACACAAGGCATTACAGGCCTCATAGAAGCTAGAAACTATCAAAACAAGACCCAGAGACGTACAAGAGATTAAATAAAGAAGTCAAAACGAATCAAAACAAATATGGCTGCATCAACAATGAAAGGGAAATAGTGAATAATTGGAATGAAAATACATGAAAAGATGAAGGAAGCAACAGAAAAAACAACATATTCCAATAGTGGATGCATAAATGAAGAAAGAAGACATTTTCAATAGGTGGTCTGATTACACTGAAGCTCTTTGAGGACAACAGAAATAACAAATCTGAAATAAAAAATTCTGATGGACCACCCATCTTAAAAGATGAAGTAAGACATCCAATTAGAAATATAAGACACAGAAAGTCGAGCTTTGGATGTATTTGGAATAGATATGACAACAACTTCAAAAAATAAAATATATGACAGCAGTGAAACTCCAATAACCTTAAATAGATCAGTTTTTATTCTCTTACCAAAGAAATCTGGGGGCAACTAAATACCAATCACATCGTGTGATCATTCTGAGTCACATAAATAAGTTTCTTTTCAGAATCCTCATGGTGAGAGTACAAAATAAGATAAGACTAGAAACAGTTGTAGAATAAAATAATTTTGTTGAGGATAAAGGAACTAAGAATGCCATATATATTCTACAGATGCTCACAGAAAGGGGGAACTGACCATGGTTAAAAGAGGCCTATACCTGTTTTATTGACTACATAAAAGCTTTTGATAAAGTGAAAAATGATGAACTGTTTTATTTACTTCAGAGTTTAGACACTGATGGAAAAGATAATTATTCTAAAGCATCACTTTAATCACATAAGTAGCTACCAAAAATTAAAATTTGACAACAAACAAACCTTCTAGTCATAGCACATATAAACAGTGTGGAGTTTTATGTGATATATGGACTAGAAAAATGTAGTTTACAGAGTTCTGTTTTGTACAAATTTCACATAGTTATATTAATAATGAAATCATAAATTATTTCAGGTATTTGCTTTGAAGAGCTACAGGAAATTTCTTTTTAATGTTACAATACAATAAGAGTCAAGTAGACTTGCAATTTTAAATCAGTGAGCAAAACATGATGCCAGATCGTGAGTTTAAGAATGAATAGTATGCTGGTAAACTTAAGAAAAACAAGTATTTGTTATATACTTTAAATAAAAACTGGCATTTGTAGGAATATTAAAATTGTATTTCTATTTAACTTTGCTGTGCCTTACTATTTTCAACTGTATACTTTTTTAGAACATACAAATAATCAGAATACTACAAATAATACACAAAATGTATTTGATGATCATTTTAAGTTTCAGCACCTGATCTGGGAAGCAAGAAAGTAACTAGCATAATACCAAATAAAAGCAGTAAAAAATAAATACTGGTTATTTTTAAAACTAACAGGATGTAAAAAAATTTAATACCAGCAATAAAGAGAACCCAAGGCTACAAGTCTCAGAGATAGGTAGGTATTCCAAGCTTTAGACACTTTTCAGGTGTCAGGAAGAAAGAAAAAGATTTATCTCTATTTATGAAGAAAACCTAAAGTTTGAGAGACATGGGTTTAAATCAATGCTACAGACCAGTCCAAGGTTGTATTATTAGCAAGGAATTAATTTAAGCTATAGATCTAATGTTGGAATATCAAAGTATTCCAAGTTTTAAAAGCAACCCAGAGATTTGAAGACAGAAAGTTAAATGAAGTTGTAAAGCAGAGACCCATATTTTGAAGACAAAGAAGTAGCTTTAACACACTGCACCCCAAGCACAAACTAGTTGGGGCCACTTACTTTGAGATGTGCCCTTTTTACTCTTCTTCTCTTTATGATATTCTTCCATCAACTTGGAAATGGCTTGGGGACTGGTTCCCCATTCATCCTCACAGACATTCTCTGATTTGTCTGTTCAGAAAGCAACACCAATAAACACTTATTTCTGATGGGTAAAAGCTCTAAACTAATAGTATGCAGATATAACTCTTAAAGCATGGAGCTGCTAAATAAATGCTACTTGGTCTGAACACAAAACAGTATATACAGCATTGGCCACTAAATATAGATATTATTGAGAGCTAATGCTTTCCAAGCAGCTCATAGAAAGACAAGCTCAGTGTCTTAAAATGATAGGATTAAATTAACGCATTACCAAAGAACACCCTAACCGACAAATATTGATTAGTGTTTCAGCCATGGATGATTTTTCATGATCAAACATACTTTTTGAAGATACATAAATAAAAATATTAAAGGCAATTAGAATATTTTGGCAAGAAGATGCTTATTTTTCTGTGTGAAATAATTCAGTCTAATGAAAGTTTTATTAGCTAAAATGATGACTCACTTGCCATATTTTTATATTTAGATATGTAAAGAAGAGATGTGTTCCTGTTGGAATATGCTATTTCTAATCTTAATCTAACAAGCAGTGATATACATAAAGAACCCATCTTATTGTACTGAAAATTGCATCTAATTTCATATCTAGTTTTCTTAATGTTGGCACACACATAAATACCAGATTTAGTCCACTTAACATTATAATTTGCATCTGACATTTATTCCGTCTTGATGCTGGATTTTGTTGAGTGTTGGAAATGCTCTTTGTTTCCAAAATTGAAAACTGTTGATAAAAAAGGTGTTGATAGCAATTCTTTTTCTCTAGAAAAACTAATGTGAAGTCTAGTTTTACACTGGCATGTTTTTTTTTTTAAATGAAGTGACATGGCACTTAAGACTATGTGCTCCTGACAATAAAAAAAAAATTATATGCATCTGAGTGTATATTTCAGAACAAATGTTATAGACTAGTGAGAATTTGTTTGTTTGATTCATGTAAATCTACACAAGGGCTATCTGCAATAGCCATCACTAATTTCTAACTGATAGACTAGGGGAAAGACAGTCAGTCAATAGCACCTACCACCAACTCTCAGGCTACAATAATTTAATATGAGAATTTGAACATCACTAATAATGCATCCACAGCCTCAAAGTGCAGAGCATGATTTTATGGCAAAAGGACGTGAAAGATGAACCCTTATAATTCACAATCTCGCATGATAACCGCTAAGACACACAAACAGACTACTGTGAATTTAAAAACATAAGACATTATTTGGACTGATCATGCCTAAATATTTCATTAGTTTCATCATTTCACAGGAAATCATGACCAAAATATGAAGAAAAAATTACCAACACATATTTAAATGTCTACAACAAAATAGAAATTTTGATTATTTTCCAAGCCCACAATGAAAATACAGCATTTTTTATATTTGTCGATGTTATTTCCACATAGAAAAACTACACAGTAACATGTAATTGAATTTGTTCTAGGTTTATTCACTAGATTTTTCTGTTCAAATAAAGGAATATTCTATAAGAAAACCAAAATGCATTTTAGACTTAGTCAGAAACACATTTTAAACTCTAACTGATCTATATACACCAACAGTTAACCAGATCATCAAACTGGCTGATGTTTGAGGACTGTAAAAGATCAAAGAAAACATTTAAGCACTCAACAATTAACAGCTAGACAAATTTATGCAACAATGTTATTTCTTATATTGTAGTTCTATTTTGAAGAAATACTAAGGAGTTTTGGTCTATTTCAAAATTGTTTTACCAACTAATCTTGCTTTTGTTATAGTTGAGACATATAGATATCAAGTAAACAATAGAAAAAAATTATTTGAAATTTATCATTATTTTAGCTTTTAATTACTTTGATTGTCAGTTTGTGTCACTCTACCTAACACTTCTTAAATTGAAGAAAATATTAAGCAATTAAAACCAAACTCAAAAAGAAAGGACTATTAGAAAGGACAAAGATGCATTCTGAACAGAGAGTGTATTAAAGGGAAGAAAATGTTATTTTTTAAGTTAAGAATAGAGGATATGGACCAGAGCATGTTAGACCTTTTATCAATAAGATTCTTAATTATTCTCAGTGTTTCTATTTTAAACCTTTACCAAAGATTATTACTGTTGGGAGGGCAACTTAAAATTATTTTTATCTTTTTTTTTACATATTTTTTAGCCTTTAATGACCAATGCTGCCAGAAACTGTAACTTCTGATGTCAGAAATACATTTCCTCTTATCACTTGGAGCATACAGTCATTTATTTACAACGAAACAGAAAATTAAAAAGGAAAGCCACATGCATCTTAATATAACTTGGAAGATATGCAATATAAAATACAAACATATCACAATGTATTGTATGATTCTAAAAAAAAAGAAAAAAGCTTACTCACCTGAAACAATTTCTCCAGAACTAACAAGATCACTTCTTTGTGCAACATTTCCACATACTTACCATAAACATACTAATTACCATGGGACTACATCCTAACAAAGAGTACACTTACCCCAGTCAGACCCCTCTCCCTGACTTCTGCTTTCCCCACCACCATCTGTGGAATCAGCCCCCAAGAAATCAAATGCTGCTAACACTTCATCTGTTTCAGCATCATTAACTGTACCACTTAACATCTGAAAAAAAATATTAATGTTCAATTTTGTAAAGCAAAGACAGCATTCTTGCCAATTCAGATAAACTTTCTCATTATACACATAGAAAAAATTAATTTCAATGTACCATAGAAAAGTGGTAAGAGTACCCACAGGCTCGTACACCAATAAGATAAAACAGTTACTATCCTCTATACAGAGCTGGTGTGTTGATGTTTAATTCTCTATCAACTAAAATATTATGAATAAAAAATCATGACATTTAAATAATTATGGCTTGACAATATAGAAGGGAGATCTCTTGAATACAGCAATAAAAAAAAAGTTTCTGGATGAAACAAAACAAAGAACATGTGGAGTCTGTTTATTTGATTTATGAAACATTCATAAATCTTTCAACTTGAATAATATGAGTCCTTAAAAGCCCTACAGTTCACTGTGCATAAATAACTTGAATATAAGAAAGTATATATAATATATATATGTTAAAGGACTTAAGTTGAAAGTTTAAAACCAACAAGCTCACAACAGGTAACAATACCAAATCTAGTTGAAACACTGCTATTTTGAGCTGTGGAAGTTATCACCAGCTGGTAAATAAAGTGACAACAAGAAGTGGATAAAAAAGCCAGACAAATTCATACATAACTAAGGAGAGAGAGACAACATGGCTCAAATCTATAGTTTTCAGCTGGTTATAGTACAGGTGTTCTTATATACTAAAAGCTATGACATGGAATTATTTGTTTGTTATCAAGCACATTTCCCTACTGTAACAGTAAGAAAATAACAGTACATTATTAAAATACTTAGGATTTACCATAACAATGTGTCTTTTTCAGCTTCTAGTTATTTGATGAATGTCTTATATGGTATTTTTTTTGTAATTTAATGTTATAATTAAATACAAATATTCCATGTAACACATTCAAAATCAACCAACATTATCTTTTTTAAAAATGGTAAAATATCTAATCTCTACTAAATCTTTAAATTCACAACACGACATTAAACCGCTAATGTATTCTCAGGTTTCACTGACTCTTATTTTTGTTTTAAACTAAGAAGTAATAAAGAATCTCTATCAAAACTATTGCAAGAGAATCATTGATATATTGTTCTTTCCAATAAGAGCCTACATAGCATTGCTTAATTCTCTCAACATGGGCTCGGTCAATTTGACCAAGCACATGACCTCTTTGTACTCATTTAAAATCTTTATAGGTTTAATACTTCTACTTTCTACTTTCCAATAAGAGCCTACATAGCATTGCTTAATTCTCTCAACATGGGCTTGGTCAATTTGACCGAGCACATGACCTCTTTGTACTCATTTAAAATCTTTATAGGTTTAATACTTTTACCTTTAAATTGGTGTGTATATCTTCACAAAATTTGGCAGTCTTTCACATACAAAAATCATATTTTTTAGTGAAGTAATTTTAATAAACTAAAATAAAGATTTGTCCATGAATATATTGAGTATTTGTTTTAAAGTCCTTGTGCAAAGTAATTTTCATGTTAAAATTAAAAATACTTTTCCTTATCTAAAAAATCTCAAATTTTCTTGGTGTAATCTCTAAAATTTCCTAAATGCATTTCAAACGATTTTTTCAGTAAAACTTTATAATTTATCTGTTATTTTCTCTACCCTAACTGAAAATGGGATTAGTGAAACAAATGTAGTTTTATGTCACAAAAGAAAAAAGGGTAATTTAGATTTATTTAAATTTTTTTTTAATGGTTACGTGGTTGGTCAAATTGACAGATTCGTATTGAGATAGGGTAGAGAAAATAACAGATAAAATATAAAGTTTTACTAGTAAAATAAACGTTTGAAATGCATTTAGGAGGTTTTAGGGATTACAGAAAGGAAATTTGGGATTTTTGAGATGAAGTATTTTTAATCTCAAAATGAAAATTACTTTGCACGTGGACTATTCAAAACAAAATTCAATATATTCATGGACAAATCTTTATTTTAGTTTATTAAAATTACTTCACTAAAAAATACGATTTTTGTATGTGAAAGACTTATAATGTTAACTGAAAGACTGAAAAATTTTGTGAAAATATAAACACTATATTAAATGTTAGAAGTATTAAATCAATAAAGACTTTAAATGAATACAAAGAAGTCACATGGTTGGTCAAATTGAGCCCATGTTGAGAGAGAGAACTGCTGAACTGTTCAAGCCACAGAGAAATATTACATGAGTATGGACTACCTTTAAAAAAATGGCAACATTAATTGTTGTAAATGCAGCATGTTTAGTTTAAAAGAGCCTAAACTTGAAAGTTTCACTATTAGTATCTACCTTTCATGAAAAACAAGAATAGAAAATCACCACTGTCAATGTCATAAGAAAAATAAGAACAAATGTAAAATAATATATATCCACAAACCTTGGATTTTGGAGATATTTTGATTTCTATTCTATTGGAAGCTTCATCTGCAGATCCACTTTCACTTGCATCGTCACTAAAATATGAGGAAGAGAATTATTTCATTTTTATGAGAACTGGAAAACAAAGGTTTGTTTCCTCTTTCATTATTTCTGTAATTGCATTTGTTGAATTTATATCAATCACTTTAGTATCAAATTGTAGATTATAATTCACATTTTAGTATTGTACATTAGTTAATTTCTTAATCTAAAATTAGATATTACAAAAACACCTAAATATCAATTTTTGTGTGTCATGTGGTATGTTGAATGCAGCATTGGTTCAAATTAGATGTTTGTGATGTCCAAACACAAAGTCTATAGTTTCTTACGAATTAGGAACTCAAATTACTGATATTGAGAAGCTATAATATAAAATAAGAACATCCTACCTTTTCTATTTGCTGAGATATCACTACATTTACTGAATCAAACAAGTGGCCACACCCAACTATTTCCATTTTTGGAAATGCTTACGTACACCAACTTCTGTCTATGATGTATGAATAACCAATTGAAAGCTCAGAATGTCCCCCTAGTGACTTTCTCCGCCTTTTTGAAATAATTGGGTGGCAAACTCTTTTATATTATGCTAGATTCCAAGCGGTAAGATAAGACTTTAGTGAGCTCGAACAATCATATTTTTTAGACCCAAATACAGCTTACTTACTAAGTTTGATGAATTATAGTAGAATTCTATGGTATTGATGTAGTAATTTAGGATTATTTATTATTTTAAAATGTATACATAAAACCTAAAAAAATTTTTTTTTTCATATCCTCCATGTACAAAATTTGAAAAGGCTTCAAATACCTATGGCAAGCAACAAACTCCTAAGTCCCTAACTGGAAGATATAATTATTTATTATACTTCTTTATTTACTGTTCTATGTTTTAAGCTAAATAAGTTTAAGAACTTATTTGTAAATAGTAATAATGTATATACATATATAATGCATTATAACCAAAATGTGACTATTTTACAAAATACTAGTCCACTAAAATACAGCCAAGACAGGTCACTTTGTAAAGGCCAGTTTTATATTCTTGGATATGGTAACATAAGTGCACGTGCACGGCATCATTGCAACTTCAGTAATGTTAGCCAGGCATGGCTGAATGGTCAGTGTAATAAAAATAATAAATATATATAAATGTATAATGTTACGAGATTTAAGCTATTTTGACTAAACATTTGTGTTTTCATGTTAAAATCTGTAGTCATTCAGGAATGAAAAAAGCATAATTTATATTTATTTCCTAATTATTTATGGTGGTTACGAGGTCAATCAAATTGACTGAACTTCTACAGAGAATTGATAGTGAAAACAACAGATAAAATATAAATTTTTCTTAAAAAAACTTTTGATAATTATTTGGAGGTTATAAAGATTTTGCATGAGAAATTTGAAAATTTTGTGATACATTAAAGTATTTTTAATCTTAAAATCAAAATTACTTTGCATGTTGGAGTCAACATTCGAAAAGAAAAAAGACATGAGACAAACATTACTTAAAACTTAATAATAAAAATTTATATTTTGTATATGAAAGGCTTCTAATGTTTACTGATGATCTGCAAAATTTTGTAAAAATATGCTTACTAATTTAAAAATTATAGCATGAAAACTATAACAAGCCTGTGCTGAAGATTTAAGAGTGGCAAAAAGTGAAGAAGTTTATGCAATTTTTCATTGATAGTGAATTCATGCATGCACTGATCATGAAAAAAGTTACAACCTGGACTACATATGGGTCATAGTCACTACAACAAAGAGAAGTGGAGTCGAGACTATCATCAGCATGTGAAAAGTCTAGTTGTGTGTAGACTGAAACTAATGTGACCTACCTGATAACCACAAAATAACCAGTTTCCATAATATAACTTATTATATGTTTTGTGTATCTTCCTGAAATTTGACAAGCTTCGAGTACACATTACAAGCCTTTTGTACCCAAAAAATCATTTTTAATTAAGTATTTTTTACTAAAGATTTGTTTGTAGATATATGAAGTCAGATTGTTAATTATTCCAGGAGCTAAGTGATTTTCATGGTAAGGTTAAAAATACTTTTCATCTGAAAATTTTCAAATTTCATTTGTGTAACCTTTAAAACCTCCTAACTAAATATCAAACATTTTCATCAGTTATTTTCTCAACCCTAATTCTACACAGGTTTGGTCAATTTGACCAACAATGTATAACCACCACTAAAATAAAAATTAAATTTCCCCATTTTCTTTCTGGAATGACTGTAGATTGTAAAAGAAAACTAAAATTGTTTATCCTAATTAGCTTAAGGTTTGTAACAGTCTACATCTGCTTATACTTAGTTTTATTGCCTTTTGAAGTGTATCTGACTAATAATCCTGCCACACAAGGTGTAAATCACTCAGTGAGCTCTTAGCTCACATTACCGCATTGCATGGTGTAACTTAAAAGCATACCCCATGAAGATTTTTTTATTATCCTAATTTTTCATTATCTTACCTAATCCAACCTAGAATATTTCTAATTTTTACATTTTAGTTTCTTTTATAACAATAAATAAAGAATATACACAAAAAACATGGTATTTACCTTTGATCACTTCATTTTTTTATGTTGGTTGCTGATGAAATTGAAGCCTACTTTTATTTATAATGATGGTACTAGTATACTAAATTTTATTTACTTAAATAATGTATCTTGGAACACAGAATAATAACACACACAAAGGAAACAATGTACTATTACTATTAGAATTTAACTGGCTTTCTAACTAAGACAAGAGGTGCTTAAATTATTTCCCTCTGCTACTTGATCTGAACATCATGAAATAAACTTTTAAATTGAAGAAGAAATTGCCAATACTCTCTATTGAAAACATAGCATTATATGTCATTCAAAAGATAAATACTTTGCCTTTTCTTTTTATTATAAATTATATATTATAAAATGCCAGAGAGAATTATTGGAAATTTGTGAGAGAATGTGACAGGTGGGCATGGAAAGTGGGTCTGATTCTCTAGTTTATGACTCTGTAAACAAAGATTGAAGGCTTTAAGAATTAGACTTTGCATTTGTAATAGCTATATTATAATGAGTAATTTATGTTAAATTCTGTACTTCAGAGGTGGTAAATAAATTAGAGAAGGTGGGAGACCTAAAGAACATATGTCACAATTTTCATACTAGGGGAGATAGATTTCTTTAAATATTTTCTTATAAACTCAAGAACTTAAAAAAACTTATATAATATTAAAACTTGGTTTATTAACAACATTTTGATGCCAAGTTTATTGATATATGTTGATAATAAAGTAATTAAGTTTTAAATGTAACTCTATAAAAGGTCGTGACAGGCTTCACTTTGATCTACCCGTTGTGAGAGTGTTAAAGACTACATCTGCTTGTAGTGGTAGTAGCCAGGATTTAATCCCAGATTCTCTTGATAGAAAGGATGGTGCTATTCACTATATATGTGTGTGAGGCCTCCCCATATAAATCCGAATCAATTAACTTGTTTGAATGCTTTTAACAGTGGTATCCAGGTTTCAGTTAGCTGGATGTAGAAGACTTATTTTATCTTTGTTTTACTTGTGTGCTTTTCATATTCCATTATTTCAGTACTATTCCAGAGACTTTTATATCTAGTACATTCCTGAATTCTAACTTTTTGGATATTTTTTTCTCCAATGTATTGTTGAATACAGTTATAGATTATCAGCCTAAGCATAAAATAAAGACTAGTTAGTAATTACTATATAATAATTACAAAACCACCAATGAACAATTAGTCTTGTTGTCAAATAGGACACTAAAAATGATACTCAACCAGATAATTAGAGCAATGGTTTGAAATTTGTGTGGTTAAGTCAGGTTTTTTAATGCCTTGTTATTCCTTAATAAGATAGTTATAAAATTGTTTCAGTCTCTTTATGCCTTGCTACTTGTAGCCATATAGTTAAAAGGAACGTTTTATATAATTTGGCAATGTATTTTGTTTTCTTAGATCATGGTGTTCAAGAGAAAGCTTTTTTTACATGATTTACACTGTTAACTATTAAAGTAGTTACTAAAAATGTCTTTGCAGTTATTAAAATCAATTGTCTTAATTTTAACACTCAAAAGTAAAATACTTTTTATATGGTTTTTACCTAGTTTCATCATCATCATCATCCATGTCAGTACTTTCTGATGCTAAGAAGTCAAATGTAGCAAGTACCGATGCCTCTGCATCTAACAAGGTGCTTTCTGCTGCTGAGTTGGAAACTTTCTTACCAGTGTTTCTGTAAGATGTCCAGTCATAATATTGAACTTATTAATATAGCATTTGTGTAAATGAAATACTACTTATTCTGATCTTTTAAGTTCTTATTGATAAAGCAAGAAATATTTTGTAACAGCAAAAAATCACCTTCATTGGACTTTTAAAGAATATCCATTAATGTGAGATCAGTAAAAAGTGAGTACACTTAAATTCAAAAGCCTTGAAATAGTAAGTAAACACAAAGCCATGTTAAGTAATCTAAAATAAAGTTTAAATCTGTAATAGCAGAACACCACCAAATTTATATTGTGGCCTTTGAGAAATGTCTGAAAAATAATTTCAATATTGTTTGTAAATATCCCAACACCATTACAAACTTTTTTATCCTTGAACAAGTCTGCATTTCAAAATAAAGAGCAGAGTGTTTACAACAGTCCCTGTTAATCCTGCAAAAAAAGTATGTTGGCAAAATAAAAAGAAATTTAGATACAAGACTCGCAGATATAACAAAGATATTAAAAATGATAAAACAAATAATGCTATTTTTTTACATAAGGAATTTTGATTATGATATTAACTGGATATCAGCCAAAGCAACAGATAAAAATAAAAAGTATGTTAAAAGAAGAGCTGTGCAAAAGTCATTATTCTAAAGGTTGCCAAACTTCTACAAATCTGAAGGTCACTTTAAGCTGAATTCCTTACTGATGCCACATGCCATTAAGGAACTTGGAACTTCTGTTATAAAATAAACAGTGCATGTGTTTCTCTAACAAACAAATGTTGGACTGGAGAGGACACATGAAAGTGTTGAAACTTGTATCCATATAAATTTGGTATTGTTATTTTATTGTGGATTTAAACTTTACTTTGGCCTTGAAGTATCATAACCCTTCAAAGCCAATCTTAAGAGCCACATGGTCTCAGAAAAAACATTAAATAAGAAATATCTAAGTTTGTTTGAAGGAATCATTTAAAAAGTAACAATTCTAAGTAGTTACTAAGTGTCCCATATTTATCAACTGTAAACACACACACATCTTTTCATCAAATGCCAAAACCGTTTCAAGTTTTACTCCAATTTTCACAACATAGCTGAAAACAGTTATTAAATTATACTTTATTATACATAAAAAAAGTGGCACGTTAAATTTAACTTCAATAAAATATGTGATACATTTCAGTCAAGAGTGGGTTCTGCAAACTAAAGTCTGAAGACATGTCCCTTAAGCAAATAAAAATGTGTTCAAATTATCTATAAGACAAATAAACAACAACCCTGTTTACCTTTTTTGTGTGTCCATAGTTCGCTTATCAAACTGTTCACCATTAATCACTGGTGATAGTTGTTTGTCTTCTCCTTCTGAGTTATTTGGTGCCAACCCTAAAAGCTTGCGAACTCTGGATGACCTAACATCAATGATTGTATCTGTATATCCAATCTCTTGGAGGTATCTACAAAGAATATAATACAAACTTTGTTGGCAATGCACATACTGGTGTAGATTTTGTTAATACATACTTCTTCTGCAAATTGTTTTAAGGCTATCCATCTTTGCAACTTCATTAAACACTTGAAAGGTTGTCTTTTTATTTAAGTTGTAACATCAAAATTTGTTTGTAAGTAGCTTAAAGGGATAGAAACAAATTGAAAACATGATGCATTTGATAATTTGGGCAATACAAATAATCATTTGAACTAAATGTACATTGAAGTTAAATATATAGTCCAGAGAAGTTAAGTGTTTAGCAAACCATGGTTCACTCTGAATCTACTTTATTGAAAAACCACCTGAGAAAATTAAGCTTACCAATTCAAAATGACAGAGCTTTCTCAGATAATTTTTTACATCTACAAATATCATAAAATAGTCCTGTTCAAAACAAAATCATACAAGTAACTTTATAAAACCATATGTAAACTTCCTAAAAGTGACAAGTATAACCACAATAACAAAGGGAAAGAAAATGTCTTGAAGAGCACTAAAAAACTATTCAGCTTCACTTTGTAGTTTTAATTAATATTCTCAATTCAGGAATTTAAAGACTCTATAGTCTGCTGTACGGTACAGCAG